GGCTGCTCCTGCGAGCCCTCGCTCTGCCGCACGTGCTGTGGGACCTCGCGTCCTGCTGCCCGTGCAGCCCTCGTCCCCTGCCTCCCCATCCCTCCTTGCAGGCATCACTGCCTGGCTTAGCAGCAGCTCATCCCTTTCCCTCCCTCGGGCATATGCTTCATCCCTCTCCAACTGGCTGCTTCCTGGTGATAACTGATCCCGCCTTGGAGGAAAAGGACCAGGTTTTCATTATTTCAAGGCCATCTACCATTTCATTGCATAAGGGCACAGCAACCCCTTGCCGCCCCGCCTGCCTTCCCTGTGACATTGCTGTGCCTAGCCACGCTCCGAGACCTGACATGACTCCCTCAGCTGCTAATACTTGGAGCACTAAGTACTGCTGCAGCCTGCATTAGATTTAAAGCACCATCACCCCTGTGAGGAGACTCAGTGAGCTCTAAGACACTCGTTTTCTTTTTAAACAGCAGGGAAAACTCAGCTTCTATTTGAATAACAACACAGACTTTAAGCAGGAGATACCATCATCTCCATCTCGGCTGCACAGCTCACTTGCAGATTGCAGGGGAAGCAAAACGCCCCCAGACAAGGCTCGTCCCTGGCTCGAGCAGCCCTGCAGCAGGGGCATTCTGCAGCATCCTGCTGCAGCTCAGGGCAGAGCTTCCCTTGGCGCTCCCCTTGGTCTTTTGAGGCCATTAGCACCTCTTGGACAGAAAACCCGTCCACGCTGCTGCCCTCCCAAACTGACAAGTGGCAAAGAGCCCTCCTTGGGGAAGGGGGATACGGAAGCGCGCTTGCCGGGATGAAAGCATCCAGCTACGTGCCTGGAGAAATCGATTACACTCCATTGGAAACGAACCATACTTAATGCTGACCTAGTTTGCCAGCCCGGCAGCGCGCTCCCCGCGGCGCGCGCGCTCAGTTGCCAAAGCACTTGCCAGCCGCAGGGCTCAGTGCAGACCCCCCACGGGGAGACACCCTTCCCCATCACTGCGGCTTTTACCAGCGCTCACCTCAAGCTGCCTCTGGTCCCCCATAGTGTAAGCTAAGGAAAAGGCAGGCTCTCTGGGAACCGCACTTAGCAGGAATTGCCCATCCCTTGGAAAAACTGGGCTCCTAACTCTGCCCTCGTATCCCTTCTCTGATCCCTCTTCCGTCCTAGAAGCAGCTCTGTTGGTGGTAGCAGAGAGAAAACAACTCAGCTACCAGATGATTTCAATATTAACAAAATTAACCCAGGCCTGGCATTGTCTGGAATGAGTCACCCGTGTTCCATATCAGTGATTTGAGACT